GCTCGTCAATTGTTGCACGTGCAACATCCGAACTCAGAAGACATAATGGCACGTCAAAACAAGCTGAATGCCCGTTGGGCTAAACTTCGCGATATGGTCGATCAGAAGAAGGCTGAACTTGAACGTGCTCACCGTCTCGAAACTTTCAGGTATACTACGATAAATCCTTCGGATATGGCTTCGCAAAGATTCGGCTTTCCCCGTAGTTTCCCCACTTAAGAGCGAATAACGATTTCTGTTTCTTTGTCAGGATCGACTGTCAGGAAACAGTCACATGGATCGAGGATAAAACTCGTGTTCTTGAGGACTCTGACGCTCTCACCAATGATCTCAGTGGTGTAATGAAACTTCAACGAAGGTAACTTCAGAGCACATTCGTTCACTTTTTCACGAAACTTTCACAAAATAAATCGTATCGGTTTTCAGGCTTTCAATGATGGAACGAGATCTCGGCGCCATTCAGGCAAAACTCGATGCGCTTCATAAGGAAGCAGATTCTATAGAACGAGAACGTCCTTCTGAAGCGCATGCAATCCGCGAGGATATCAAACGTATCCACCACGTGAGTTCTTGTCAAAGTCCTCTTTTCGAATTCAAAGGCAGAGTTCACGATAATTNTGGGTAATCCAGATTATGACGAGAAATGGAAGATAAGGTGGAAAATAGTGCGATGAAGGCGAAGGAACTGCGTGAATCGTTGTTTCCAAAGTGAAAAAATGCTTCGAAAAATGGTTAAAATGAGGGCTAGACTAGAATGACTAGAAAATTGAGGAAGGATGGGGCGTTAGTACGGGCTATACACTGTGTGTCAGTGCGTACGTGTGGGTTCTGGTGCGAATAGCTGACATCAATAGTAAGAAAAATTCAGTCAGTCATCAAAAAAAACCTAGTAACAGCAAAAATAGCCCACATTTTTCAGCCTCTTGGGGTAGAAGATTAAAGTAGGGATCGCAACAGTAAAAAGAATAACAGAGAATAAAAGAATAGGAGAAAATCATCGCCTCATTACTCGGCGATCAGCTGATTGTGGGTGGGTCCATAGCGAATATTGCAATCTGTATCGCCTCGAAACTCATCTGACGGGACATCGGTCCAGGGGCGGGAAGTCCGGGCGATCCGGTAACGGGGCTCCTACTATGCCCTAGTTTTGAGTTTTGGGACTTGACAGCGTCTTTCCTGTTGCCCTTGGAGGCTACTGGGTATTTCTAAGGGGGAACTCAGAAACCATTTTATCGTGAACTGTGCCTTTACTCTGCTTTGCGGTAGTTTTTACACTGTCTTTTTATTTAGGTGTGGGATATTCTCAACAAGAAAGTTCGCGAGCATGAAGCGAAGCTCGACGAGGCAGGCGACTTGCAGCGATTCCTCCGTGACTTGGATCACTTCCAAGCATGGCTCACTGCAACGCAGCGACAAGTGAGTTGGCTTAAGATTTGCGTGTTCAGGTTATTTCGGGCTACTGCATGAAACGCATAAGAATAGTTTAAACGTTGTGAGCGGATCCCTTGCTTTCTGGTAGCAATGTGAGAAAGAGTTTTAACTCAGTCTCGTATGAGAATAGTAATGATAATGGTAGTGATGTTTCATAGTGTTTACTTCCAGATTTTCTCACTTTTCTTGACTGCCACCATTTGTGGCTCTCCCTGCTCGGCCTATCTCGGAGTTTATCTTTGCAGGTGGCTTCCGAGGATGAGCCACAGTCGTTGGCAGAGGCTGAGCAGCTTCTCAACCAACACGCTGCCATTAGAGAAGAAATTGATGGATATGCTGAAGACTACAAGAAGATGCGTGCCATGGGCGATCGTGTTACCCAAGACCAGACAGATCCACAGTAAGTTTGTTTTTCGTATTCAGTAACACCAAAATGTAAATTCCTTTATCTCCTCTGAAGCCAACTAGTCAAGGAAGTAAACGAAATTCGGACCTTTTGAGGTACATGTTCCTCCGACAAAGGCTTGTTGGTTTGCAAGAAGGTTGGGAAGAGCTCCAACGCATGTGGGATAACCGGCAACATCTACTTAGCCAAGGACTCAACCTGCAGGTATGATTCGAGCCTGAATTAATGTGCGGCGAGGTATATACTCGTTTTGCAGGTGCCGTCGAAAGTATTCTGCGAAAAATAAAATTTCATTTCAGATGTTCTTGCGCGACGCCAAGCAAGCTGAGGTTATGCTGTCTCAGCAAGAGAATTATCTCACCAAAGATGAAGCTCCAAGTAGCTTGGAGCAGGCAGAGAACATGCTCAAGAGGCATCAGGTTCGGAGTATGAAAGCGCTTTACGGCTACTCTACTTTGCTAAGTCCTTCAATAACCCTTTGCTGGTCACGGTTCTATCATTATGACGACTAATTTGTTCGTTTAGGACTTTATGACAACTATGGACGCCAACGACGAGAAGATCCGTGCTGTTGGAATGTTCGGAGATCAGTTGTGCCAGGATGGACATTATGCGGCCGATAAGGTAGCGCTATTTTGGATGTATAATCATAGTACGAACATCACGACAGCCTTTTTTTCAAAAAATTCTTGTTTGCAGATTCATAAGAAGGCTCGTAATATCGATGAACGTCGTGAAGCGAATCGGGAACGAGCACAAGCATTGCTGGCGAAGCTGAAGGACGCACTCGCGCTACAGCAGTTCCTTTCTGATTGTGAAGAGTTGCGCGAGTGGATTGAAGAAAAGATGATCCGTGCTCAAGACGAGACCTACAGGTGCTTTTTATTGAAGCTTACGTAATCCCGTCAAGATGTTTGGATGTGCAACGGAAGTCCTCTCCTGTATCTTATTTTCTTCCTGTTTTTTTTTTNTTTTTTTTTCTTGAAGAAAAGGTTCGTTTCATAGTTTCTTTCTGATTCAGGGATATTATTGGGTTTCACATGCCGTGACAATTTTACTCCGTAGTAGCCGTAGTTCGTACTTTGTGATTACAGAGATGCGAAGACAATCACATCGAAATTTGTGCGCCACCAAGCTTTCCAAAGCGAGTTACAGGCCAACAAAGTGCGTCAATTAACTTCGTTTTCACCCTGCTAGTATTCGAATCTAATCATTTTGTGTGTATTGAAGGAACGTCTCGATCAACTACAACACGCTGCAATTGACTTGGGCGCTGAGAAACCCGAATTCACAGGCACCATAGATCCACAAATCGTCGAACTTGCTCATCAGTGGGAGCAACTGGAGAAGACCACTGAAGAGAAGGGACAAAAGTTGTTTGATGCCAACCGACAACAGTTATATGTGCAGAGCATTGCTGACATGAAGGTTCGCTAATTTGTGCTCAATTATTTTAAGTAAAAGCGACTATTGGATGATTATTTTTAAGGAGTGGGCCAGTCAGTTGGAAAAAGAAATGGTTCGAGAAGATCAGCCCGCTGACCTTACCACTGTGAACGTGGCAATGCAGAAGCAGCAGATGATCGAAACGGAAATGATCAAGAAGTTAGTCACCGCTATGCCACTAAAATTACTTGAGCATAAGTCTCATATTCAACTAATGCAGGGCACAGCACATCGATCAGCTTATGGAAATGGAACCGCAGTTGGAGGAGATGCATCCAGATGAACTAGAGGATATTCGCGCTCATAGATTAGCTGTACAAGAACAACTACAAAGGTATAGCGCCTGTCGTAGAGAAACGTTTTCATGTTTGATTACTTGCTTATGTTTACAGGCTGCAAGCACCCCTTGACGATCGAAGGCGTCAACTGGAACGCCGAAAGGCAGCGTTCCAATTCGGTCGCGACGTTGACGACGAGAAGCTATGGATTGCCGAGCGTCTGCATTTAGCTCACGCAAAACAGCTGGGAGAGAATCTGCCCGACTGTCAAAGGTCGGTCGCATTGCAGTCGTGCAAATGTTTTGAATATAAAGACAGATACTGGAGACAAGTGGCGTCTCATTGTTCCGGTAATTGTTTGTGGTGTTCCAGACTGCAGAAAAATGCACAGCTATTGACGAGCGAAGTCGAGAATCACGAACCGTGGATCGAACGTATCTGTGATAACGGACGGGAACTCATTGACGCTGGTTTGTTATTCACGTTCTTTCTTTTTCGAAAAATAGCTCGCTTCATATTCTAACTTTCGCGGTTCTTTCTTCTTCATGGTTCTTAAGTCCAATGTGTTGACCTTTATTAGAAGAATCAGATTTCCACTGTTTTGACTTCCAACATCAATAGCTGTGGCTAGATGGCTAAAGTTTTCTTATGCTTTTGCGTAGTTTCCATTTTCCTTCAACGGTACTTCTTCTTCCTACCATTCTCACGGATACAACTTCGTTTGTTCTCAGTTTCTGTATCGGCAATATTCTATCCGTTTGTCAGTCGTGAATGGTGTAAGAGATTCTCTTATGCTGTAAATGCCCCGGAAATCAGGCTATTGAATAGTTACCATCATACAGCAAGATTTGCCGTTGAGCTGGACTTTTTGTAGGGCACGAAAACTCTGCCGCTTTTGAGCAACGCATCGCGGAATTGCGTGATGCATGGCAAGAACTAAAGGACGCAATCAAGGACAGAAAAGACAGGTAACGGAGACGGTCTTCCAGCCATTGCTTCTGTTTCAATTGTGTATTATCGTAATGTTCCTGTGTCATAGACTTGCGGAAAGCGAAAAAGCGCATCAGTTCCTCTACGACTGTGGAGAGGCCGAAGCTTGGATGAGTGAACAAGAGCTCTACATGATGCAGGTAAAGTGAAGTGTACTATAGAATTTCTCTATTCTTATCTTTTCGATGACCCATATAGACGTTTCCATGATAATGTACAATTTCTGACCGAGTTTTTTTTTTCTCTTGGCCTTTCGGCCCCTCGAAAAATTTTATTTCGTATTTGTCGCAATTGTCCGAAAACTAATGTCATAGGATGAACGTGGAAAAGACGAATTTTCTACGAGGAACCAAATCAAGAAACACGAACGTCTTCAATCCGATATAGACAAGTTTGCCGACACTATACGACAGCTGGCTGCCAAAGCGCAGAAGTTTGTCGATGAACGAAGTCCGCTCAGGTAAACAAAGCAGATACAGAGCAACGATATGTTCAATAGACCCTCTCATGAAGCTACTGCATTACTTGCATTTGTTGCGGCTGTTGAACCGTCGCCCAATTCACAATTTCCAATTCTTGGTTTAGTGATCAAATCGCCCTGCGGCAATCACAGATTGAGAAGCTGTATGCTGGTCTCCAAGACCTATCGAAAGAACGCCGAAAGAGGCTGGATGAGACCCTAGAACTGTACGCACTTCATCGCGAAATCGATGATCTGCTTCAGTGGATTGCCGACAAAGAGGTAGGTAGGACTGGATATTGATTTCAACAAAATACGAAGCATTCGTTTTAAGGTGGTCGCTGGAAGCCAAGAAAATGGTCAAGACTATGAGCATGTGCAGATGCTGCAAGAACGATTCCAGCAATTTGCGCGAGACACCGAGAACATCGGATCGGAACGAGTTGCCCGCGCTAACGATGGCTGTGATGCGGTGAGTTGATAGACTGTTGGAAACAACGTCTTATATGACAGTTTTATTTATTTATTTTTTTGGGTGTGGGTGGGGGGAGGGGCGGTGATTTCTTCTTTTTTAAGAGTTGCTGCTCTCTATGAAGGAATTTTTGTAAACTATGATGTCTCTCCAAGGTGGTGAGCATATCTCAATTACGTTGATTAAGCACAACAAAGGATTGAATCCAAACTAGAATTCTTTAACACTTATGGAGAGTTTTCCAGTTGATCGCTACCGGCCATACAGATGCTCCAACCATCGCTCTTTGGAAGGATAGCCTCAATGAGGCGTGGGAGAATCTTCTTGAGCTGATTGATACTCGTGCCCAGATGCTAGAGTCCAGTCGTCTGCTTCATAAGTAAGTATTCATGAGTAATTTCTTGTTCCGACAGTAGTCCATCTCTTCAAGGTTCTTCCACGACTGCCGTGATTGTCTTTCACGAATTCTCGAAAAGACTCATGCGATGCCTGAGGATCTGGGACGAGACTCCAGCAGTGTCGGTGCATTGTCTAGAAAACATCAAAATTTCTTGAAGGATATCGATGCAATTGGAGAGCAGGTCAGGAATTCAGGGTTCACTCATGCTGCTTCTCTATCAATCCCATACTTCTGGATGCATATTGGGGATCGAAGTTTAAAATTGCTATGGCAGTGATTACACCAGTCTTTTTTATTTAGAAAGATCGCGTAATTTTACCGAAACATCTAGGTGGCACAAATCGAGCGTGATGCCAGTGAACTGCGTGATGGGTACGCCGGAGAGCGAGCCCTCGAAATGGCAGCTCGTGAATCGGAAGTCGTGAAAGCATGGAGACATCTTCGAGGATTGTGCGACGCTCGTACATCTCGCCTCACGGATACATCAGACCTCTTCCGCTTTATGAATATGGTCCGGTGAGTAGAATAATGTTACATAGTTTCTGTGAATTTGAAATACTTGTTGGGAGTTCACTAGATCGGAACTCCAACTGTTTCTGCTTCACTACCTAGAATGCTGTCCGAGCCCTATTGCGCTTATATTGAAATTTTAGTGACCTTCTACTGTGGATGGATGAAGTCAAACGAGAGATGACCAGCCAAGAACGGCCAAAAGATGTTAGCGGTGTTGAGTTACTGATGAACAACCACCAAAGCTTAAAGGTAATGCTAAAGCGATGTTTCAGTTTACTGCTTCTGATGGTTTTTTGTATAATGTTAGAAATAATTATCGACTTTGTCAGGCAGAGATTGATGCTCGAGAAGACAATTTCAATGCTTGTATATCGCTTGGAAGGGATCTATTGAATCGTAAACACTATGCATCGAGTGAAATTGAAAAGAAATTAATAAAGTTGACGACTGAACGAGCTGAAATGATGCGACGTTGGGAAGACCGATGGGAGTACCTGCAACTTAGTAAGTCGCAGCTTTCAAAGTTCTTTCCATTCTGATCAATGAAGATCTTTGTTAATAATAGTCTTCATCAAAAACTTCCAATAATCGCTTGCAGTTCTCGAAGTGTACCAGTTTGCAAGAGATGCCGCTGTTGCGGAATCTTGGCTTATGGCTCAAGAACCGTATCTCATATCACGTGAATACGGGCGAAGTTTGGAAGAGACGATAGCTCTCATCAAACGACACGAAGCCTTTGAAAAGTCAGCTGCGGCGCAAGAAGAACGATTCCTTGCCTTGGAAAAGCTTACTACGGTCAGTTTCTCAAATTATGTGTAATTCTCACTCTTACTAGCGATTTTGTCCTCTTCATATCGTCATTTTCTGGGAATCGTACTTATTCTTATCGCGGAATTCAAACACGAAGAGTACCCTGTGTAAATTTTTTGTTTGATCTGTACGGGGCTCTTAATCAGTCGAATGTCTTAGATTTATTCTACGCGCGTTCAAGTGGAAAGATCTGAGTAGCTTGCAATGATGAATCTTACGGAGAATAGTTTAACACACTAATTTATCCTGTCGTAGATGTTATAAAGTTATAAAGTGCTAGTGTTGTGATGCTGGAAGAACTCAGTATGATACCCTTTGACGTTTTTTACTTTTTTCTGTTTCTTATTTTTTTTTATTTTTTATTCAGTCCACATATCTTCCTTTGTTGATTTGGTCCTATACACTAGAACACCATAATAATTTTTATTTGTTTTGATGGTTATGTTGGACATGAACTGTGAAACTAATTCCGCCGATTCCTGATTAAGTTAATTGATTTATTTCCAGTTCGAGTTGAAAGAGATGCAACGGCAAGAAGAGGAGGCAGCGAGAAGGCGTGGCCATCTTGGCAGCCCTTCACGATCGCAGCCTCACGAATCATTCGGCGCCGATCCAGACGGTATGATTCATCTTATGACGCTTAAGAAAGCGCTGGAAAGCAGCTTTTTACCCTGCTCCTTACCTGAACCAACTATACTCTGCTCTTTCTCCCAGAATCACTTTAGTATAAGTGATATTCGGGCAGCGATGTCCGGCTTAATGTCCTCCAAATAAATCCCTGCATGTTCTTTTTTCACTGCTCCATTAGTTTGCTCAATAGTAAACTTGCATCTGGTGGAGGAGCTGCATGAAAGTGAAACATTGATCATTCAAACAGTTGCCTATCTCAAAGACTCTTTTAATTTTGAACGCAGCGGTTGACTTTTGAATGGCAAAGTTTCATTTGTAATTGTCGAGAGGTCGTTGTGAAGTGTCGTGAATTTGCAGACTTCAATATGACGTTGAGCAGCGTCGACAGCGGCGGAGCGCCAAGAAGTAGCACAATGGGTTAGCTTCTTTATGATCAGCTATTTTCGTTTTTATTACCCGGCAGAAATTGGGGGTAGGGGAGGCAATTTTTTTTTGTTGCGGCTTATCGGAGAGACTTTTCCTCCATTCTCTAAGTTCAGGTCTAAAAGGTTCCCTACCAGCTCTTTAGTTATTTAGTTTCAACTAATTGCAACCCTTAACGGTCCCTTTCTATTAACACCTTTTCTCCAAATTAAGAAGTTCGCTTTCAGTTGGAGATCCTTGCAGACATATCAACCATAGATAGAGAATTTTCGCTTTCTAAGGTCGATCTGTTCAGCAGAGGAACCTATTGGAGATCCCTGGTATCCCTAGTTATTTCATTAACCATAGCAAATGCTAAATCGTTACCCTGTTACACTTTTAGTTGCGTAACTGCTCGCTGTCCTCCTAACCGAATTCATTGCGTAGCTTTATAGATACGAGGAGTTGGTTGTATTTTTTGTTGTTATGTTGCTTGCTGTTGTTGTGTTGTGATAGTGCAGCCAGGTTGCAGAACGCAGTCGGCTGTCCACTGGTGAAAGTAGTGGTTGGCGAATGTCACTCGCTCGTGCCCCTAAGTTCGATTCGAAGGATCCACGGGGTAAGTTGAGCGATCTACACGAAGATTTCTGTGAAAAATCTCATACAAGAGTGTTGTGAGTGCTGTTTGTTGAGCTAATCGTGAAATGAGAGAAGTGTTCAGTAAGCGTTGTACTCGGCTTAAGTGGTTGTTTTTTTCGAGGTCCAAATGCCTGAGTTATCCAAGCATCCAAGTACTTAAGTTCACCAGTACTTAAGTTTCCTACATCACTTACCGATAATATTCAATTGTGATACTCATGAGTATTTATAAGTAACATATGGGTTTGTTTTAAGTTATTTATTTTCAACTAATATCTTAAGTTCCGATACAACATTATAAGTTGTTCTCATGAATTTGTACTCATACCAAATTTCGGTTTTTGGTGCATAGTCAGTTTTGTCTACTTTAGGAAAGCTCCAAAAATGCTGCCCCTAACCACTAGTGGGAAGTTTGGCTTCCTTTTGTGTTATAAATGATTCAGTGCTCGTTGATTTTTCACTCCTGTCCAGAACCTCAAAAATGGGTCTGAAGGTTTGATATTTGGCCCTCTTCTTTCTAGCCCTATTCTGATGTGTCGCTCTTCCTGACCGCAAACAA